TTTTTTTTTTTTTAAATATATCTTTATTGATTTCAGAGAGAGGCAAGGAGAGGGAGAGAGAGAGAGAGAGAGAGACATCAATGATGAGAGAGTCATCGATCGAGCCCGCAACCTGGGCATGTGCCCTGACCGGGAATCGAACCCTGATCGCCTGGATCCCAGGTCGACGCTCAAACTGCTGGGCCACGCCCGGCCGGGCAGTCTCCTCACTTTCCAGCTCTCCCTGGTCCATCTGCTGCCTGGCTCTTGATGGACGAGCTGGATTGATTGGGTTGAGGAGCTGTCAGATGTCCTGGGGAATTTGATGACTATCAGGTCAGAACCACTTGGCTGAGACCAAGGAGGACCTGGCCGAGATCCCTTCTTTAAACTTGAGATGCAGATGAGGGTGTGACTCCTGCTTTACTCAGAGGCGTTAGCCTCACCCCCTTGCTTTAATTGAGCATTTTAACTGAAAAATATCCTAGAGCGTCTGTCTTACCTTGTTCCTCAGACTCACTCTGGAGACGGCTGAGCTCATTGGGATCCTGTGTCTGTTGGGAGTGCCCTTCAGGAGAAAGGGGGGGGAAGCTCAAATGCTATTTAGTAGCTGTTTGATAAACATTTAAGTGAGATCTGCAAATCACGGACTAAAAGAGAATTTGTTAACTGAGCCAATTAGCTGAGCGCCCACCAGCTGTTAGCTGAGGGTCTTCTGTGCCGGGCACTATAGAAGGGATTATGGGTCCAGAAAGTGGCAGACAAGAGTCCTGCTCTGGAGGAGATCTCGGGAAGGAAGTGACTGCGATGCTACAGCACAGCGAGCTGGGTGCTGGTGCTGGCATGTTGCTGAAGGCAGTAGGAGCACAGGGATGTTGCTGAGCGTGTCAGTGGGGTTAGGGAGGGCTTCTCGGAGGAGGTGGTATTTCAGAAGAGCTTTCATTGCAGGAGGGAGAGGGCATTCCGCAGAGGGGATGCCATACCAAAGGCATAGAAGCATGCTCGCTGGGCACGCTGAAGGAACTGCAGGTGGTCGGGATAACTCCAGCCCTAGGTGTGTGGGGGCCTGGTGGGAGAGGAGACTGCAGACGTGAGAAGAGCCTCGCATGCTAGCCAAGGACGCGCGCTTTGTCTAGGCCCGCCCATCAGCAGCCGTTAAGAGCTGGAAGTGACGTGGCCAGATTTGCATTTCAGAATCCTCACGTTGGTGGCACCAGGATGATGGATTAGAGAGAAAAGACACCTGGGAGCGGGGACACCTGGGAGTCTAGGCACAGTCACTGGAGACCTGAGTGAGGGTGGGCACAGTGGGAAGAGAGAGGAGAGAACAGGCTGGAGCACAGTTTCGAAGATGGGACAGGATTGGCATTGCCGTGAGGACGAGAAACGGAGGCCGAGGTCCTGTGGCTCCTGGGCTGGGCCACCGGGTAAATAGGGATGCCACTCGCTGAAGCTGGAAGGCTGAGGGTGGAGGGGGCCTTGTGGGGAAAGAGTGAGTTCTGTTTGGGCACAAGCCTTCGGGGTGCCTTTGGGTGGATAATGGAGACAGTCTGTGAGTTGGGGAATTAATGGATGGGATCTCTAGGTATTAAATGGCTACGTTGATGCCAGCGTGTAATGAAGAGCTCACATACCTGGGAAACCAGGAGAACTGGGCACCATGTTTATGAATTGCTTGGTGGCATATCGAAAGGCCTTCAGCGCGCATGGGTCAAATTTTAGGCTTACTTTCTAGGAGTCAGAGAATTTCTTTTAACAGAAATGTTAGTTCCTAGTAAACCTCCTGGGGCTTCCTGATACCTGCCCAGGCACCCTCAGGTGACCTGCCCAGGACCCATGAACTCGCCTGGCGGGGAGGACACTGGCTGGCATCGGAGCTGCCGCCTTAACCTGCCCTCAGATGTTCCTCGCCTCTCTACGTGACCAGGGCCATGAGCGCTGCCTCCTCCCACGGCCCTCTCCCTGCGCCCCACTGTTTGTTTCTCCAGTTTCCTAGGTGACCCCATTTAAGTGAATATGCAGGGAAGTGAGACTTTGTAACGGTGGCAGGTAACGAGAGAAAGCTGATGACAGTGAAGTGTGTTCGTAGCCAGAGTGTGCCAACGGTGCATTTTTCCCGAGTGAGCTAACACATTTGCTAACGCAGTGGCAGACGAATCTTCCAGTGACGAGTGCACCTGATGGCCTCAGGTGAACCGGCTCGAAGGCCCAGTGGGAGCCCGGGAGGACCTGTCTCCAGGGACAGCAGGAGTCTGTGGGGCTGCCCCTGGGTCCTTGGTTCTTGATGAATGACCGCTTGGGAGGCAGTGCTTCCTTAATGGGGAGAGCTGAGTGCTATGGGCAATGGGAGTTCATTAGCTTCAGTCTGTTAATCGCTTTCACTAAAACTNCCTTAATGGGGAGAGCTGAGTGCTATGGGCAATGGGAGTTCATTAGCTTCAGTCTGTTAATCGCTTTCACTAAAACTGTCAGTTTTCAGTAGCCCTTTTACTGGGACGACCAGATATATGTGAATGCAGATTTAAGACAGGGTCGGAAGTCCTTCGAAGGAAGACTGCTTTTATTGTTGGAAGTTTCAGTTGTACACTCTGGTCAAAGCAGGAGGATGGGCAGTGCACCCAGGAGTGCCAAGAGTTAGCACCTGGAACCTTCGTTGCCTGTAGCCAGTGCTCCTCCTGATGGCGAGATGTTGCTTGTTACCCCCCAGGTGGAGAAAGGTGCAGCTGAGAACCCACACCTGAGACTCCCCTGGCTCAGGCTGGTGGCTGCGCAGGCCTGTGTGAGATGACAGGCCGTAGCTCCACAAATAGCAATCCTCGGAAACCCAGGATCTTCAAAAATGGTGGTCTCTGCTTATGCTGTCTCAAGGGTGCTCTCCCCAGTTGCGGTCTTAGAAGTCCACACTGGCCCACTGACCAGGACTGGAACCACAGGGAGGCAGCTAATGTTGGCTCCGGGCTTGGTCCTTCCAGTTGTTGCCCAGGTAGACCTGGGGTTCTTAGCAACATAGGTCAACAGGAATAGTCTGAGGACTGAGGAGTGAAGCCTTATTTCATATGCTCCACTCAGTTGTTTGCTACTCCTTGTGACGGATCATCCCTGCATTTTCTTCACAAAAGCTTGAGCAAGAGCTTCCCTTTGACAGCCCTAACTTGTACCAAAAAATGGTGGTGAAGCTGAGCCCCTGTATAGGAGGAGTGTAAGTCAGGTGTAAGTAGATTGGAATCCCTGCTCCACCTCTCACTCTAGGATTATCTACCGGGGGTCAGCAGATATTTTTCTGTACAGGGCAGGAGAGTAAATATTTTAGGCTTTGTGGGCCATATGGTCTCTGTCACAGTTACTTAACGTGAAGGTTGTAGCATGAAAGCAGCCATAGACAATATGTGAACGAATGAGCATGTCTGTGTTCCAGTAAAGCTTTATTCACAATAACAGCCAGCTGATAGGATTTGGCCATGGTTTCCCAGAGATTCTGGGAATAATTAACCCTATTTCACAGAGTTGTGAAAGGAAGAGGTAAGATAACACACTTTAGGGGCTTAGCACATAGCCTGGGGCACTGTGGTACTCGGGGGACCGTTGGTCACTGTGTTGTTGGAAATTGCTCCAACCACACACTTCCCGGGAATGGCTTTCACATTCAAGACTTTTCAGAAGGCTACAGAGAAATGCAAAATCGTGGTTAGCAGTATAATGGGAAACAGGAGGGCCTGTGGATTTAATATTTCTTCTGGAATCTGGCATTATGACAATTTAGGGAAGCTACCAGGGGTCAACCCATCAGAAGGTGTCTTTGAACCTAGTTCTGGATTTAGAATGTGATAGGCACTTTCGTGGTTACAAAAGAAGCAGAAGACGTACTTTGCCTTGCAGTCGAGTTAGGGAGGTAGAAATAACTGATGCGAAGCAATTAGAGACCAGCTGAGAACTTGGAGCCACCTGGGTGGTGGCTGACCCACGGGAGGGTGGAGAGGAGACAACCTGCATGAGCTGGGGAGTGTCCAAGAGGCTCACATGCAGGTAGGTGGGACTTGAACTGGATCTGGAATGATGAATGGGATTCCAATAAGGAAAACACGGCTTTACCTTTGCTCCCTAGTTTGGATTCTGGGTCAGAAAAATTCCTTTTGTATAGAATCAGAGTAAAGATTCCCAGTAAGGAAAAAGACTTTGTAATGAAGGCTCAAATTCGTTTCGGATCCAGTGTAGACAGTCCTGGGGTGTGGGCATCCATTTCTAGCTTCCCAGAGTTTCATCCATAGGATTTTTGAAAGGAAAGCAAAGCTCTTTGAGGAAGAATTGGTTTAATGGGGAAGGTCTGAATTTTAGTAGCAGAGCCTGGCACCAGTTAACAGGACCCTATATCTACTGGCTTTTGTGTCTTCTGCCTTCTAGGTTGGACTTGGCCCAGTCTCTGGGACTCACTCAACTGCAGGTGAAGACTTGGTATCAGAATCGCAGGATGAAATGGAAGAAAATGGTAAGAAAGAAGAGAGTGAGTCCAGCCATGTGCCTATCGCGGCAGGACAAATCCTTCCTGCAGGGCTGCGAAGATGCGGGAAGGACCATTTGATGGTTTGGGCTCCAGCGGTTGGGAGGCCTTTCATGGTGTCGGCTGGGAGGGAGGCTGTGTGTACAGAAGGATAAGCCATTCCTCCTGACCTGGATTTCCTGACCAGAAGGAGATTCTCTGCCAGTTTCCTTAGAAATAACAGAAAGTGAAAGCCCACAAGTTTCTCAGTGGCTAGATTTAACCCCACCTGCTAACCTTTTCAAAGAATTTCCTTCCCCCTCCCACCAGGAGCTAAGAATAGAAGTCGGTACTCTGTTTATAATGACATTTAGGGCACATCTGTTCTTATAGCTGTGTGTCCTCTGATGCAGTGATTCTCAAACTTTAGTGGGCATCAGAGTGACCTGGGTAGCAGGTGAAAATGCAGAACTCCAGGCCCCTCCCAGGTTCCTCCGATGCACGTGGCAGAATGACTATGGTTCTAGGATGGCCCAGCTAATGAGTTGGTCCATCTTTGTTTTTTAAATGAACTTATTAGAATAGATATCACTAAAAAAAGAACATCTACATTTGAGGAACTCAGTTTCCATAGTAGTTCAAAGTAGTTGAGTATTTTATTTCCAGGTTTGCAAAGGGACAAGATCAGACCCAAAGGAAAGGGGCAGGGGAGATGAGGGTGGGAAGACCTCTGCCCTATTCTTTAGAGACTAGGCACACCAGGGCCTCTGACCCGGGTCTCTGTCATATTCTTGCCAAATCTTACTGGCCCTTTCTCCTCTCATATGGACCAAGCGGTCCAGGCCTGCCTGATAATGTTCTAATTTGCTAACCCATCTGATCATGAGCCATTGTTTCTAGTTCTTGCTTTGCCTGCTAACAATGAGAAATATAAACAAACAAACAAACAAGAAATGAATGTTAAAGGGGAAAAGTAGAGAAAAGCCAACAAGGCAGCATTTATTATATATCCTGAAAGGAATTTCTGGGCGAATCTCATCATTTCCTCTGGGGGCCCGCCTTGAAGATGGAAGGATTTTCAGCTGGAGGTGGATTGGCTCACGAAGTGCTCTCAAAGTGAGGTGGAGGTTGCAGCTACATGTACAAACACAGATCGCATGAATCAACACACATGCAGTTCGTGTCTCTTGTGAGCCATGCCTTGTCCTAGGCACTGTAGGAAGTAGCGCAATAAAATATAACCCTTCGTGGAATTTATGATCTAGTTGGAGAATCAAGGTCCAGGAAGCAGTTAGGGATGACACTTTAATGAAGTACTGGTTTTTTATTTAAAGATTTAGTTCCTCGTAAGAGCTCAGAAGAGAGGTGTTGGGGACAGCTGCAGAGAGAGGCTAGAATTGAAGGATGAGTGGGATTCCATGAAACACGTAGTTACTCCAGAACTTCTAAGACACCCCCGAGACATGGTGGAAACCTTTCGGGGGATTGATCTCTGGAGGAATCAGGTTTGGGAGTGAGAAACCCGGGGCTCTGTTCCCATGCTTGCCCCTCCCTGGCTGTGCTTTTGGGCAAGTCCCTTTACTGCTTTCTGTGCAAGTTCCACCGCCCACCTCCTGCCTCGTCAATCATCATCATCGGGATCAATGTCTCCCGAGTGGCAGAGGCATTGTTTAAATTGGTTATCAGCGATCTTTTCATGAGTCAGATGGTTAGAGAACTGACAGCCTGCCATCTCTGCCAGCACCGCCCAGTGCCCGTGGGACCGTGCATGTGCCCTGGCCTCTGATGTCACTTGTTTTTCACCAGCTACTATGCAGCCCGCACAGTTGTGGGCCGGTTATTGATGGTTATCAGTGTCCTATAGAGCAAGATGGGAGGCATTTGGCAGACTTAACCTCAGAGAGCAACCCACAGGCCAACCAAATTCAGGTCACTTGAGGAAGCAAGAGTGCCAAGTTTTCAGTTAACTTTAGCAGTCGTTTACTGAGCGCAAGCGATAGAGATGCAAAGATAAGGCACACACCGTCCATTAAAAAATAAAATTAGAAAAGTTATTCAATCAAGTGGGGGGGACAGACCTATAAACGAGTAATCATACAGAGTGATCGGGGCAGTAGCAGAAGCATCTGCAGGGTTCAGAGGCAGTATAGAGAAGGGAGGGCTTCATGGAAGAGGTGCCATCTTAATTGGCTTTAGTGGATGACTAGAAATGTGCCAAGTGAAGGTGGGAAGAGTATCACAGGCGGAAGAAAGGGACAGAAGTATTGGGGGCACTGGAAGTACTTCGGAGTGGCTGGAGCTGACACGCCGGGGATGTTCAGCGCGGGTCTGAGTTCTGACTTTCCCAGAACAGCGAGGCTTTGTTGGGATCTGATTGCTTCATGGACTTTCCTGGTGAAACTCTTTCAAGGCTGTCTCTTCAGGTACTGGGAAGGAAAAGAAAAAGGTAATTGGGTAATAAGGATGTCTCAAGGCTAGTAACCTAATTGGAACTGGAAAAAGATTAGTACTTGATTCTCAGAGTTACTCACGCGGCTGCCAAGGCCAGTGCTGCCAAAACCGAGATAGCATCTCGGACTAGTTCTTACCGGTCAGCATTTGTAACCTATAGCGGGTTGGGTAAATTCAGTCTTGCACGCGGGATGGGACACTATTCCACTTCTGTTTGGCTTTAGTTCCAGTAGGACTCGCAGTGTTTTGCAACAGGCTGAGAGAGCCTCATTAGCAGTGGTCTTTTTCGGCTCTGAAATACAACAGAATTCTGCTCTGGGGTGGGGGGGATCCAGATGGATACTACCCCCCTCTCCCAGTCACCGAGTTGGGTGGGTCATGTACCATGTGCCTTCATCATGTTTTGCAGCGAAAGTTCCCAGATAATCAACAATTCTGTGAAACTGCTACCAGTTGGGGTCTATGTCATCTTGGGCAGGTTGCTTAAGCTTTGGGTACCTGTGTTCTCATCAGTAAATGCCTAATATATACCTTATAAGGTGAGCCAATCCTTGTAAAACTTAGAACTGTGCCTGCCACATAGTATCTAACCAAGAAAATATTAGCTGCTGCTCTTCTCATATTATTATTTTAAAAATTATTCACCTATCCAGAAAATCCGTATCCCTAGAGAATCCAGACTTTTGGAGGCCAGCAGAAATAAGCCAGGGTCGTGGGACTCCGGTTAAGAGGAGCCCTGGGTGTTTGTCTTTTCTCATTTCCCACACGCCAGCCTCGCCCCGTCAGTGCCTTGGCGTCTGGACCTGTGACATAGGGGAACAGCCCATCTTCAGGTGGAGAAAGCCTGCTAAACGGGGTCCCAGGAAGAGATTCATGCTAGAGAGTCAGAGCTGGCTTCTCGGGTCCCTGGGCACAGTTGTCAGTTACATGGCTCTCATTTCCCCCATAGAGCTGCAGAGAAAGATCGAGAAGAAGGAACACAGAGCACTCCCAGTAACGAGTTGTGGCCTGGGGTCTGCTGGGAGGTTGGGTAATAGCAGTAAATACTGGAAAGTCAGGAATAACAGCGGCACATTTTACATATCCCTCGCACATTACACACAGTGAGATGCTGGGAAGAGTGTTAGATTCGAATGGTCAAGGGTTTTGTGTTCAAATCTTGGCCCTGCCCTCGGCTTGCCCTCTGAAGGTGATGAACCACCTCTACCTGCTCAGCTCAGGTTCCTGTCTGAATAATGGGGGCAGTGGACGTCCCCTCCCCATACTGACTTTCTGGGCTCTCTAGTCAAGCAGCCTGTCCCCCACCTAACCACCCTGGGAAGGAAGCAAAGGCCTTGTGCCGATGCCCTTAGCAACAGGACATGGGCTGTCTCGTTTTAGAGCGCAGAGGAGGCTGTCAGTAGGCACGGCTGATAGAAGTAAATGATGTGCTTGGAGTTTTTCCCATGGACATGTGACCTTGTGTGCAATGGGATGTCGGGCCTCTCAGGACCAAGGAGACTAAATTGGCTCTAGGAATATTTGGGGAGCAGGGGGTCCCGGGGGAAGGGCCACAGGGTGCATGAGAATGGTGTGGGGCGGTGGTGAGATAATTGCGTGTGTCATGTGTGCTGGGAGGCAGGGGGCCAGAGGTCGAGTGCGGAAAGCAGCCAAGTGTGTAGTTATCTCCTAATTATTGCTGGCACTGGAGTGTTTTATTCCATTTAGAAAATGGTGCGATTGTTTTGAATTTTTGGGGTGTGTGTGTGTGTGTGTACTGTAGGAAAACAGCCAGGTGGGGTCGATCCAAGCCGCGTGGGTGGCGCTCTCTAATTACTGGGCTGGACTTTCTTTTGCCAATTAGGTGGCTTCCTCAGACCTGCCCTTTTATAACATGATTACTACATGGGGCAACTTAATTTTGTATAACCTCTTTCATATCGAGTGGGGCTGCTTTCAACATGTAAATTCCATCTTGGCACATTTGGCGGCTTTCAACAGCCTGCGCTGAAGTCAAAATCAGATACTGACTCATGTGAAAATATGTATACAGATGTCTTCTCTCCAAAGGTGGAATCTGTCAACATCTACACCTTGTTAGAGGTCCCTTCATATAGGTGTGTTTGGGTGGAAAGTACAGTGGTTGGGCAGATTCCCAGCTAAAAGGTGGTGTTTACTAAGAACTTATGGTTTTCCTCATACCGCACACAGAAGTTAACTCGATATGAGTCATAGACCTAAATGTGTAAGCTAAAACTATAAAACTCTTAGAAGAAAATACAAGTAAATACTCATGACCCCGGGCTAGGCAAAATCTTCCCAGATTAATACCAAAAGCACAAATAAAAGAAAAAATAAATTGGATATCACCAAAATTAAAGACTTTTGTCCTGTGAAAGACATCAGCAAGAAAGTGAAAAGACAACACACAGCATGGGAGAACATATTTGCAAATCTTGTATCTGGTAAGAGACTGTATCCAGAATATATAAAGAACTCTTGCAACTCAATAATAAAAATAAAGTCAGATTTTAAAAAGGGCAAAGGAGTTTTGTTTGTTTGTTCATTAATCCTCCCCT